CCAGAATTCTGACTTTAATCCCAGAATTCTGACTTTAATCCCAGAATTCTGACTTTAATCCCAGAATTCTGACTTTAATCTCAGAATTCTGACTTTAATCTCAGAATTCTGACTTTTTTTTCTCAGAATTCTGACTTTAATCTCAAAATTCTGACTTTTTTTCTCAGAATTCTGACTTTAATCTCAGAATTGTGGGTCTTAATGTAGATTGGCACCATGAAGGAAGAGATGTGGGAGCTCTCAGCTTCACTGACAAAGATGTGAGCTGTTTGAGAGGACCAGTGTCAGAGGGGTCCCCTCATTAATGGAGGAGCAGAAGGTGATTAAAACAAGAGAGCTAGTCTCTAAAACAGACATGGCCACGGCTTGATGCTAACATGTTTGTTAGCTGTCAGAATTAAGTCAGAATTCTGAGATTAATCTCAGAATTCTGACTTTTTCCCAGGCTAAACTGAAATAAAATTAAAAAATCTAACTTTTTTTTTTTTTTTCCCCAGTGGCCCTAATCCTCTTCCGTATTAATCACTTCATGGCTTACAGCCTGATTCTGATTTTCCTTCCTCTCTGTTGTGCCTGTAGCTGTTTGCACGTCTTGACATCATCAGAGAGGCGGAGCTTCTCTTTCAACACCACCTGATTCTCCAGAGAGGGATCAGGTTTGGATTATCGAAGCGGCGGACTGGACGGCACTTCCACAGATCTAACAGGGCACAGAGCGGCGGCTGGCCGGGGCTACGGCAGACCATTTTAACACTTAATAAAAGCACGCTCCTCTGATGTTTCATTTGTAGATCGCTACAATAGGATTGTTCCTGGTCTAAACGATATCCCCAAGAGAACAGAACTATAATTATAGATTTCCTAAATCACATTTTTACAAAAGGAATCTTAATTTGAGGATATTAAAAATTAAAACTCTACTAGTAAAAATCAAGTTTCAGATCCCTAGAAATCTTCACACATTTTAAGACATTTATCAGCTTAAATAATAAATATTTTTATCTGATCATTTCTTATTTTATCCTCTCAGCATCATCTTCTCTTTGTTCCATTCTGACTGAATCGTCTCGGCTGCACTTCTTTACGCTACATCAAAACCTCAACCTGTCCCTGATTGGTTGCCACGACGGCATTTCGCAGGAAATTCCCATCTTTTCAGCTCCGCTCCGTCTGTGTGGCATCACTATCTGTTCCATCAATCAGAGCGCCGTAAAGAGGGAGACGTGACCACGTTAAAGCTCTATCTTCCAGCTCTATATATGACCATTCATGGTAGCCCTCCAACAGACCCACCGGGCTCAGCTCAGGAGCCCCGCCCCCTCCTCTAACGGCCCCCACTTCTTTGGCATGTTTCCACATGACGATCAGAGACTCCTGGTCTTACCTGAATGCCAGTGTGAGCGCAGGCCAGCTTGGTGAACTCGATGCAGCGTCCGTCGTTCACATCCCACAGACACATCTCCCTAGAAACGCAGAAACACGCCGTCAGGCGGACATTTTGGAACAGAACACAGACCGCCATGAGGACGTCAGGAAACCCACCCGCTCTCTGAAGCGCTGACCATGTACTGCTTGTCGCTGCTGTTACTGGCTTTAGACAGACAGGTGATGGAGGAGGTGTGACCGAACAGCATCGCTCTGGGACAGATCTGGAGAGGAGGAGTAGAAAAAATAAGAAGAAAGAATAGAGAAAAAAAAATAAAAAAGAAAGAGGAACTTAAAAAATGTATCTTCTTTTACTTATTAAAGGAAAAGTCGCTCATATTC